AGAGAGAGAGAGAGAGTGAGAGAAGGAGAGAGACAGGGGCAGGGAGAGGGAGAGTGCTGGACAAAAGAATATAAACAAATATTATGTAACAAAAGATTGAAAAGGATCGAAACAGAGATAGAAGAAAGTAACGTTTTCTTCCGAAAGAGGATTCCCGCAGTGTAAAGACACTCATATTAACACACAAAGCACGATCAAAAAAGCACAGCGCGAGATTAACCCCTTCACTGCTTCGCCTGTAACTGTTTACGTTTTTGGGGGAATTATGATTATGGAGATAGTCAGGCAATGAATGGGTTAACTCACAATCACAAACCATAACACGGGGACATAACTTTAATAATCATAGACAAGGTCAAACAAGTGACTGGAAAATGAACACTGCATGACACAAAGAGCCCAACAAAGCAAAACAAAACGGAAACAAAAGCAAAAACAACAACAAAAACCCACAAACTATTTTAAAAGAAAATAAAGAAACAATTTGTAAAACTCACAGGTGTAATATCCAGTTTGTGATTTGGCTGAGGGGCGGGGACATAGGACACTTCCGTAAGATCTTGTAGCCCTCCGAAATTTCGTAGCCTCGAGTGCTTGCGCCATTTAGCACGACGATTTTGAAACCAAATCTAAAAGAAAAGACAGAAAAGAAAAATGAACACACTGGTGCATTGTTAAGCAAGAACATCACCGACTCGATAATGACCTAACAACTTATCAAAGTTACCATTTCAAATTTTGACTGGCCCGAGAGGTACGCTTTGCTTTTTCTACATCTCCACAGTTTTATTGTCCAAAGGGGATCTCGTGGTCTTGAGGTTACGGTGTTCGCCTCTCATTCAATAGGTCCCACGTTCGAAACCTGATAGCAAAGGAGAATTTTCTTCTCTAAAATGTTTTCCTTACACCTCCTTTCATACTCTCTAACCATGTTCTGTTGTCTGCTTTCGTCTTCACTTCCTGCCCCCCCCCCCTTTTTCCTTTGCCCCCTCCTCAGTCTGTGCTCCTGACTCTTTCTGAAGCCTTTCTACTGCTACTCCTTGGCTATTTCTTACGGATGTCTTTCAGCCACACCTCTGATCTTGTATGTAATTGGAAAGATTTAACACCTAGCCTTCTCCGATAAGGGCGAAAAATCACAGAGGTCCCGTGTGCAAGCTGTGCACGTTAAAGATCCATTGGTGACCCTAAAATCAATAAGAATAGGTTTCGTCCACTACTCAGGCAAAATTCAAAATTCCTACCAAACTGCAATTCGTGTTTAATGTGTCTGGGGCGCTCATAATGCCCGTATGCAATTGCGAGCGCCTTAAAACAATTACTAAAACAAATATTTTTGCCCTGATCTCCCTTTTAGCTAAATATAACTGCTGCCTTTTCGACATGAAAATAAATAACAGCGCCACACCATCAAACAACAGTAGAGCCATTAATGGCACTGTCACAAACTGATGTGCGTCGTAATACCTTATTCAAAATAGAACCACTCTAATTTTATTTATTTTAAGATTTATTTTCTTCTGTGGTTGCAATACCGAGAGAAGCATTTACAAAAAGACGGAGTGGTTCTATTTTGATTAAGCCGTTTTACATTATAGTTCAATAAGTGACAGTGTCGTTAATGGCAATCCTCACGATTCGGTTATATTTCGCCAAGAAGGAGATAAAGATAATAAGATATTGGAAAAAAAGAGACAATAGGTACCCTTTCGGCCTATCAAACTCAAAGGTGGTAACTTTGATAAGTTGTAGATTATTATCGAGTCGGTGACGTTCTGGCTTGAAATTCATTAAGATAGTGTTGATACTGAAAGAGAGGGACGGTGGGTGTCTTGGAAGGACAGAGAAAGAGAGAGGAAAGAAGAAAAGGAGCGAGAGAGAGAGAAAGAAAGAGAGAGAGAGAGAGAGAGAGAGAGAGAGAGAGAGAGAGAGAGAGAGAGAGGGAGACAGATACAGAGACAGAGACATAGACAGAGACAGAGACCAAGAGAGCAAGAGTCAGAGATAAAGACAGTAATCTTGTTTATGAACGTGGACTCACCTGCACTCGTTCTTCGTTGAGTCCAGTCCTGGCCACAAGCCCCTCACGGGCATTCGCGTCCGGGTAATGCGTCACACAGAACATCTCTTCTAGAAGTTGAAGCTGCTCCGCGGTGAATGTCGTGCGAACGCGTCGTTTTTTTGCTCCGCACGTCTGCCCGTTCGCAGACACACTCCCATGACAGCTAGAAGATGCACCAACAGCTGATGACGACGGGGTGTCGTTTGCCTCTTCTTCCGTCGCCTTTCCAGGGCTCTCATTGGTTATCCAACTGTGTTTTGGTTCCGGTAGACGCTTTTTTATGTTGCCAAGGCGATTCTGCTGTGCCAGGAAATGAATGTTCGAGTTACTGTCTGATATATTTTTGTTTTGGTTATATTGTATTGGGTTTTCATCGCGATATTCTTCCGACTTGATCCTGCGAAGAGGAGGGTTAAACTCAGAAGTTTTCTTTGGTTGCATAGCTAAAGATCTACTCTCAAGAGATGAAACGTCTGGTTTGGGAGGCGAACTTTTGATATTCTGCAAAAAATTATCTTTCGGGCCCATATCCTTCACTTCAACTTTCACTGCTATGTCTTCGTTTTGGATATCCATCCCCTTTTCAGCAAAGTACAATTTTTCAGCTTCGTTTCCTCTGGCTGCGCTGTTGTTTTTAAAAGTTTTATGATTAATTTCTGGAAAAACTGCAGGGTTCGTCAAATGTTGAGGGCTATTCGATTTCATAGCTAATTCGCGATTTGAAATAGTGTCTTGTACAGCCATACTCTCTTCGAGCAGTTCAGCTTGGAGCCGTTTCCGGTTGTACTCTTTCGGCGGTGACGTCATGCTCGGCTGAGAAAGGTTGCATCGTAACTTTGCACTAGGAGATCTTTGGATATGAGCAACTTCAGGCTTTGATTCCTGTCTAGCCAAACGTAAGTCTGAAAGGAAACAGAGGGATACAAGCTTTAGAAATCCGAAATGTGAGTTCACTTGCGTGTTCGCTGTTGAATGCATAGTATTAATATTAAGGTAAATCTATGTACATCACTGGCAAAATACACTTACTACATTAAAAAATTATACATGTTGCAAAATATCCTATAGAAACAAAAAGGCAAAGGAAGAAAAGAAAAGCTTTGAGCGCCCTGCACTTTCGAAACAAAAATCAAGGCCGCCCGCTCTTTGGTGATATTGATATGTTTTTTGATTACCGATTACTGGCGATTCAATTCCTCTCGCTCTCAGTGTCTTGAATAAGACTGTAAGTTTTTATCATGGTCGTCACATCAGGTCAGATTGTCAACTGCGGACGCCCCCTCGCAGACGATCTTGATCTCTAATGATGTGTTGTTCAATTATCAAAGAGTGACTCTCTTAATAGCTCGTCGAGCACGAATCAAATTTTATCTCAACTTTTGGCTAATGGCTTTGGAGGTGCTATCGTAACAAAATGGCGGTTTCCTCAGTGTTCGTTTAGGCCCAAGCGTACAATTTTTCGTGCAGTAACGTCAGTTAATGTGAAAGCAAAGGTCTTCTGTCGAATTTGTACTTGAAGTTTTCTATAAAAATGTCTTTGCCACTCATTTGAGGAGTACGCCACTCTAGCCTTGTGCACGCCATGATGATTGAGAAAGAAAAGACTTTGTTAACACACAGTCGCAGTTTTGGAAAATGGTTTTATTTTCAAAGGGCGCCAACACACCTCACTTATTGTATCAGTTTGACTCACTGGAACAAGTAATTTTCATGGAATTAGTACGGGCATTTTTTGTAAAGGGGAATTTAACAGTTGGGTGGTGTTGGTATTCGATCGGTCATACGAAGAAACTGACTTAACTTCAGCAGGATCACGCACTTTTCACGTTGAAAATGGTTCAGTTAATATATTCCAAGCATGCGTAAATGGATACAAAAACGTTTATAAGCTTTTGGAATGCTGAACTTGCCATCTCTGGCTCAGAGGTTGACGTGCAATGAACCGTGCTTACTGTCACTAGCTTCTTTTTTACACTCTGTCATACTTCAGCCAGTTCTTCTTTGAAGGTCCATAAGCTTTTAAAGTACAAACTCTATTGTACGGTATCCCATCTGTAGTATGGGGTGCCCATTGCGGATGGGATCAGGTCGGGTCGGGTCGGGTTGGGTAGATCGCCCGACACGTCGCCTGAAAGCAGACTGGCGATCAGTTTTTGCCGCGGTAGCCACTTTGCGCCCTCAACCAGGCAAGCAAACCGACCCAACTCGACCTGATCGTGTCAATGGGCACCTGGTATAACAAAACAGAGTCACAAAATCTCTTTCGACTGACAGTTGAGAGCATTTCCCTTTAACAATTATTTTGGCCCAAACATGAAACATTGTTGTAGCGAAAACGAATTATCGTCGCAATGGTTTAGGGTCAACGCTCCTTGCAATGCTGCTAGATCAATGTAAAGGCGGGGTACTTGAATTTGACGTTCATCTCCGAATGCACCATGCCAAGTGGGATAAAATCGTGTATTGTGCCTTTTCTAATAATACAACGTTAGACCGAGCTGAGCCTTGAACCACAGAACCCACAATCTTATGAGTTCGGTAGCTTAACGACAAGACGTTTAGTAAACGTTTTACGGTTCTTGCAACACGGCAATGTCATATAAGTGCCGAAAATTAAAAATGCCATAAAAGAGTAACAAAAAAAAAAAAAAAAAAGGAGGAGAGATCGATAAGAACGATAGTCGTCACACGAGGGGGCTCTCGTGGCCTAGAGGTTAAAGTGTACGCTTCTCATTCAAAAGGTCCTTGGTTCAAATCCGGGTAGCGACAGACAAATTTTCTTTTCTAAAATTGTCTCCTTTCACCTCCTTTCCCGCTCTCTAGCAATGCTCTGTCGTCTGCTTTCGTCTCCACTTTCTGCCCCAACCCCCTCACCTCCTTTGACCCCCCTCCTCTGGGGCCCTGACTCTTTCTGTAGCCTTTCTACTGCTACTTCTTGGCTCCTTCTTACTACTTTCTTTAAGCAACACCCCTGATCTTATAGTAGGAAAGATCTATACCTAGCCTTCTCAGACAAGATCGAAAAATCTCGTAGGTCCCGCGTGCAAGTTGCGCACGTTAAAGATCCCTTGGTCGTCCAAAATCGATAAGAGTAGGCTTCTGTCACCACCGGGCAAAATTCAAGATTTTCTACCAACTGAAAATGGTTAAGGTGTCTCGTGCGCTCATATGACCTTATGCAGCTGTAAACATTGGCAGATCATTACATGTCAAATTCTGAAGTGACACATCCATGTTTTTCAACTATTATAGTAATTTTAAATTCTTCACCAGTGCGTGCAAAAGTGGACCCGCATCCATGTTTTCGCGGTTAGGCGCTCAGCTGAGCTGTCGCATACTAAAGACTTGAGTTCTATTTTTCGTGTGTTTGAGGGGAGAAAGTTTATCGAATTGAGATTTGGCGAAACTTATGTGCACTGGGTATAGAGTGAAATAAGATGTGATACTTCCTTTGACTTGTAGAATTTCCCCCTTTTCTTTCCTTCTTTTACTTTGCTGGTCTTACTGAACAAGGTCTCTTGCCTTAACAGGAAACCAAAATACACCCACATAGCACACACATACACACACACGCACACACATGCACGCACACACACACGCACGCACGCACACACACACACACACACACACATACACACGCATACACGCACGCACTCACTAACACTCATACACACACACACACACACACTCACACACACACACACACACTCACACACACACTCACACACACACACACACACACACACACACACACACACACACACACACACACACACACACACACACACACACACACACACGCACACTTATATTTTTTTTGGGCCCCTTGTCCTAAAAAAGCCCCCTAAACAAAAACAACCCCCCTCCCCCCAAAAAAACAACCCACCAACCGAACGAGGAGAAAAGCAGCGCCGGGGAGCCGCGGCGGAGACCCCCCCCCCCCTGCCCCAAAAAAAAAAAACCAACAACAACCAAACAAAACAAACCCCAACCAAACCTACAATTCATCCTCCTCTTTGGAGCAGCAGAAGTTCAAAACAACGATCGCAAGGATGTCCTAGATCAGAACTGTAGATACGTCATAAAGTTATAACTTTTCTCGCTTTAGGTCGCAGGCGACATTCAAAATACACCAAAACGCTCGCTATCGCTTTGTTGTCATTCTCGTCAAATATATGGGCACCAGCACTTAGTTGGAGTGTTTGCAGACAATCCAGTGGTTTCCTTTCTGAGTTTCGAGTTCTGGGCTCCGAAGGATATAACTTTGCAGGTGTGTGTACGGAAACGTCGCGGCTTTCTTTATGATTGGTTGCGGTGTACCTTTCTTCACTGGAATCAAACACTAAGGCCACCATAAACCAGTGTTTGCTCTCTGAGAGTTTGTGTCGGGTAGAGTGGAGAGTGCACTTGTCCTATTTCGCATAATTTGTATAAAGGTGAAAATCATGGGAATTCAGAATTTTCTGTAAGTGTGAGTTTACTAAAAAAGGAATGATAGTCCTCTCGGTACTATTGTGGGCTTTGGTTGGTGTAAATCATATAGATAGAATGGATAATTCCAAGGAAGGGGGGGGGGGAGAGTAAAATGTTTTACACCCTTGCCGACACAGTTTAGATGATTTAGGGAGCGGGTTGCTTAGACAAGGCAATTTAGGGGCAAACCAGGCTACGTGGAAAGTGTCACACTTGAAAGCTGGAGATCCTTGATTAAATACAATTTAACCTGGTCTAACGGCCACTTCCCATTCCTCTCCCTACGCGTTTATTTTACTATTTGAAAATGACACTTTACAAAAAGGATCACCGGTCTAAGATGATCGCTTTTTTTCTTCTGGACAGTGGGTGGTCACCTTGGAAAGGTTCACCAATATCTTCTGCTTATTTAAAAAAAAATATTTTGGTAAGTGTTTTACGGCGCTCGCCACTGCATAAGGTCATATGATATGAGCGCGCTGGACACATTTAAAATTTTAACATTTTCAATTGGTAGGAAATTTTGAATTTAGCCCTGGTGCCGGCCGAGGCTTACTCTTCGATTTTGGATCACCAAAATCTTGCACCCGGGACCTCCGAGATTTTTCGCCCTTGTCCGAGAAGGCTAGGTGTAGATCTATCCTACCATGAGACCAGGGGTGTGGCTGACAGACAGCAGTAAGAAGGAGCCACGGAGTAGCAGTAGAAAGGCTTCAGAAAAAGTCAGAAGCCCAGAGGAGAGGACGAAGGAGGTGAGGCGGGTGGGGGTGGGGGCAGAAAGTGGTGACAAAAGCTGACGACAGAACATTGTTAGAGAGCAGGGGAGGAGGTGAAAAGAGACAATTTTAGAGAAAAAAAATTTCTCTCGCTCTCCGGATTCCAACCGGGACCTGTTGAATGGAACTCATACCTTAACCTCTAAGCCACGAGAACCCTCGTAATATCCTCTTGAGCGCATGTCTTTTGCATGAGGGAAATTTTTTTTAACGCGTGGGACACATTCGAACACCATACATCTAAACCACGAGAGCCCCTGGGGGACTTTTGCTTAACCATATCACTAATATAGATACCGATGTATAGACGTACCTATCAAATTCATCTCTTTTAATGCGGAATCTTAGAAGGTGACACTGGCGTCTGTTCGGTAGCAGTTTGGTACTTCGCAGTGGCAGACAGGAGACATGAGAAAGGGGGGGGGGGGGGCTCTCGTGTCTAGAGGTTTAGGTGTTCGCCTCTCATTCAATAGGTCCCGGGTTCGAATTCGGATAGCGACGGAAGTTTTTCTCCACACCCCCCCCCACCCCCAAAACAGCCTCCTTTTACCTCCTTTCCTTCTCTCTAGCAATGTTCTGTACTCTGCTTTCGTCTCCACTTTCTGCCCCCACCCCTCACTTCCGTTGCTCCCTCCGCTGGGCTCCTGACTCTT